GAGAGAGAGAGAGAGAGAGAGAGAGAGAGAGAGGGGAGTTAATTGGCCTCAGATTTTCTCACTCCCTTTTCAAGTTGGTAACACGAGGCAGCCCAGGTCAGATTCAGGTCAGCGACGTTTGGGCTCTTTAGTGCCCCTCTGTGAATACCTCATTTCTGTAATAGTTTTTCCTTTAAAAACAGCTCTGCCTTCTTTGGCAGATGGTGACATTCCATTAGCATATGGAATATTTTTCAAAACACATCCGAAAGCATGTCTCTTACGGAGGAGACTGGGCAAAGCGAACGAGTGTCTGAAAAGTATGTTGGGAGCAACTCAACATTTAACAGAAGGCCCCACTCCCGCCTTTGCCCCCGGCCTCTCCATCGTCTCTCCTGGGTTGTTACTGTAACCAAAATGAGGCAGGAAGATGTTCCCCAAAGCTTAGTCTGTTAGCTTTACTGGGACTGTCCCAGTACCCAGGGTAGCTAGAGAGAGGCTGAACCCAGGATGAGAACATGATTCTTGGCTTGGGCTGGATGTTGGCAAACCCACGTGGATGTGGCTTTGGGGCGGTGACGGATACCTTGTGCACTGAGCACCTACTATGTGCCAACTATGTGCCAGATGCTGTGGGTAACATACATTATTGTCATTCCTGCTGAAATCCATCTAGCACACAGCGAGCATGTGTCAGGGTATGTCACCACCCTGCCCAGCACTCCCCAGTGGCTGCCACTATGCTTAGAATCAAGTTCAAACTCCTTGTTATGGTCTTCAGTAACCTCAGCCCCCCTCTTCCATGTCATTTTATGTCCAGTTTTTCTTTCTCACTCCCACTCCGCGACATGAGCTTTCTTTCCGTTCTTGTTACGACTTCAGGGCCTTTGCACGCACTGCATGCGTTTCCCCAGCTCTTTGCATTGCTGCCTCCTCATCATTCAGGTCTCAGCCAAAGTACCGCCTCCCCAGAGGAGACTTCTCTGACCAGACGATCTAAGTTATCCCATGTTCCCCCACTGCGTCCTGCATTCCATTTACTCCATAGTACTCACCATTACTTTATTTGTCGACTTGTATTTATTCAAGACACATTTACTGAAGGCCTACTATGTGCTGGGTTCTAAGCTAGGCAGTGACAAAATGGACAACTATTCCCGCCTCCAGGAAGCCTACATGATGACACCGCAAGGCAGATGGGAAACGTGCCATGTTTCTGACTTCCCTTACCAGAAATGTAGCCTTAAGAACCAGGACCGAGCGACGGCCTCCCTTCGCTCTCCATGCCCGCTCTCTGGCTGTCCGCCTGCTCCGCTGCCCGCCCCGCCACGTGACGGATCAGGCAATCTCCTTCGCCGAGTACTTCCTGGTTGGAGACATCGCCGCCGCCATCTCCAAGACGGCCGCCGCCCCGATCAAGCGGATCAAGCTGCTGCTGCAGGTCCAGCGCTTGAGCAAGCAGATCGACGCGGACAAGCAGTACAAGGGCATCGTGGACTGCATCGTCCACATCCCCAAGGAGCAGGGCGTGCTGTCCTTCCGGAGGGGCAACCTGCCCAACGCCATCCGCTACTTCGCCATACAAGCCCTCAACTTCGCCTTCAAGGGTAAGTACGAGCAGATCTTCCTGGGGGGTGTGGACAAGCACACGCAGTTCTGCAGGTACTTTGCGGGCAACCTGGCCTCCGGCGGTGAAGCCGGCGCCACCTCCGTCTGCTTCGTGTACCCCCTGGATTTCTCCAGAACCCGCCTGGCAGCCAGCGTGGGAAAGTCAGGCACGGAACGTGAGTTCCCAGGCCTGGGACACAGCCTGGCGAAGGTCACCAAGTCCCACGGCGTCCGCGGCCTGTCCCAGGGCTCCAGCGTCTCCGTGCGGGGCATCATCATCTACCGATTCGCCTACTTTGGCGTTTACGATACCGCCAAGGGCATGCTCCCTGACCCCAAGAACACGCACATCGTGGTGAGCTGGACGATGGCACGGACGGTAATGGCCGCGGCCGGCGTGGCCTCCAGCCCCTTCCACACGGTGCGGCGGCGCGTGATGATGCAGTCCGGCGCAGAGCAGTGACGTCAGGCACACGGGCGCCGTCGGCTGCTGCAGGAAGACCTTCAGAGACGAGAGGCGCAAGGCCTTCTTCAAGGGTGCGTGGTCCAGCGTCCTCCGGGGCATGGGGGGCGCCTTCCTGCTGGTCCTGTACGAGGAGCTGAAGAAGGTCTTCTAAGGGCCTCAGCGGCCTCCTCCACACGCACCAAGGGAACCAAGAAAACCACGTAGAATCCTCAACTGTGCGGACCACCGACCTTTGAGAAATTCCAGTTGTCTTTGTCCCAGCTGGATCCTGCCTGTAGACAGCCAGGGAAGGCTCTAGAAAAGGGGCGCGTTGTGATCCATGTCTTGATCACCGTGGGGAGGGAACCATGGCGTCCTTGCTGCACGCGAGTGAGACACTCCAATACTCAGACCTAGAGTCCAGATGGTTGTAGGACTCAAGTCGTGTTTAAGTATTTATTTAAAACAAGAGCGCCATGTCCCCCATTTGTACTGAAGCACTAGCCCCTCTTTTGCACAGCTGAGTACTTGCACTTATGTTCTGTGGGCATCCTGCTGCGAAACAATAACCAAAAAATGCAGGATGTGTTGGGGGAGGGGGAGAACCAGGACCTTGTTTGTCTTGTTCAGAGACTATTTTGGGAAGTGGTGATCACAGAGCTCAAGGAATTGCAGTTAAATGAAGAACTGAGCCCACATCTTATAAACAATTGCATTGAGGCATAGGCAGGAAGTGGCTTTCAAGATGGCCCCGCTAGCAAAACAGCAGAACCAGGATCTGAACCGTGTTCTGTTTGATGCGGAGGCGGGACATCCGTGACGCCTGCCCAGCCCAGGCATCTTGCTGGGTGCTTTCCGCACTGCTTCCTTCTTCTCAGCCCAATATTTGGGTCCTCCTGCACTCCCCACGCCGCACCCGGCTTACCCCTGGGCTGCTCTCCTAGCATCCTGCCCTCAGTAGGGCTACTTGCTCTCGGCAACATGTTGGTTAATATCCTTTGACTCTCTCAGCCCGTTTCCTCATCAAAATGAGAATTTGAGCCACAGTATATCCGCTAAGGCATGTACAATTCTATTATCCTGCCTTCTGACTAACCCATCTGTAAATTGTGTTCAATAAGAGGTGATAACTAAGTGGTTAAAAATTAATTTTGATTTCTGCAGTTCCAGCGGAAGAGCAATGATCCATGTAGTCTTAGCTGCTACCTCCTCTCAGACCAGCATTCCTAGCTCTCCACTCTGCTCACTGTATTGATCCAGGGCTACAAGTCCCCTTCAACTGGCTTCTGCAAAGAAGGGTGTTTATTAGCTTGTGTCACACATAGCCCAGGAATAAGCTGGCCACAGGCATGTCTGGATCTAGGAGCTCCAACTGTGTCATCAGCTCTTGGGGCTTACTCTCTTTGCCTCTCTGTCTGGCTCTCCTCTCTCACAGTTTCATTCTAAAGCAGGCTTGCTTCCCACATGGTAGCCAGGTGGCTGCCGGCAGCCCCAAGAACACATCCTATCCTTTGAGTATCTCCGGTGGAGCAAAATCTCTTCCAGTCATGGGACCAAGTCTCTTTGGTTCAGTGGGAATCGTGCCCACCCGTAAAACCCATGGAATTAACCCTAATGGTCAAGGTTGGAGTCCACCCCATACAAACCACATGGGCTGAGAATGGAAGGGAGGCAGATCTCCAATGTATTAGGATTCTGGGGTCCAAAAAGAAAGGGGAATGGAGGCTGGACAGACAGAGCCCAGTGTCCCCTGCTGCCGCCACTAGGCACACCTTTTCCTGTGGGAAATGACTACTTTTGCATGTTCTTCAAGGCCTAGCTCAAATATCATCTCCTCCCAGATCCACAGAGCAGGAGCTAAAGCCCTCAGCCCCTGAACTCCTTTTGAGCCCTTTTCACTTTCTCTTTGGTATTTTAGCTTTTAATGTGCATGAGCAGAGAGAGTCTGCCTTTGGGGTCAGAAAAGTTTGGGTTCAAATCTCATCTGCGCTCTTCAGGAGTCAGGTGACCGAGGACAGGGTATGGCTCCTTTCTAATCAATCCTCTCTCCTGGACCTGCTCTGAGCATTAAATGAGATGAAGTGAGCCCAGCCAGGGCATAGGGGGAATTCTGATTTCTTTCATGCCAGGATCCATGTTTTGGTCCTCCCTGTGTCTTCAGCCCCAGTCACAGGTACTAAGAACAGCAGATGTGTTGAATGAACAAACTCCTCGATTCTGGAACTTTGGGCATGCAGTGGAGTTTCCCCTTTCACAGTGCTCAGATTCTAAAGTGAGCACAGAGTTCAGATGCTTGAAAAACCCTTAAAATGTGGATTCAATACAGTGTGCAAGGTGTGTGTGATGTTACCCAGTGCGGCGATTTCTGCACCAATTGAGAATCTGAGTACAATTGAGTTGGCCAAGGGCAAAAAGAGAAAAGTCTACATGCAGGTAGTCATTCTACATACTGTGTAGTCATTCAAATGATTCTGCTTTTAAACTAACTATTGGGAGGGATAGGGCGGTGAGAGGGAAAAGGGAGACGAGAAGAGGGTGAATTCTAAATTTTAAATTGCCTGCAAGGTTCATTCCACATTCCATTCTGCTTTTTTTTTTTTTTTTTGAGACTGAGTTTCACTCTTGTCACCCAGGCTGGAGTGCAGTGGCATGATCTCGGTTCACTGCAACCTCCGCCTCCCAGGTTCAAGTGATTCTCCTGCCTCAGCCTCCCTAATAGCTGGGATTACAGATGGGCGCCACCATGCCCGGCTAATTGTGTATTTTTAGTAGAGATGGGGTTTCACCATGTTGGTCAGGCTGGTCTTGAACGCTTGACCTCAAGTGAGCCACCCTCCTCGGCCTCCCAAAGTGCTGGGATTACAGGCATGAGCCACCGCGCCTGGCCCTGTTCTGCTTTACTATGTAGCCTTCGTCATACCTTTAAAATGTGTCAGGAGGCTCGTTTGTTGTGGGGAGAACTGTGGTTCATATACAGAAATGAAATGACAAGCATGTGTAGCAGGACATGGGGCTCAGTGAACATGGTGGGATTTGAACCCAAGTCTTGCTGACATACGTGGTCCTTGGAAAGCTGTAGAAAACTTCTGGGCCTCTGGGGCCTGCATGACCCACTGGTGGCCTCACCAAACTGGACCTCACCCTCATGCCCTGAGATCAGTCACTGAGACTTAGGTTCTAAAGCTGCAAGTGAAATTGAATGGGTATACAACATGGTTCCTTTTTTTCAAGAATTTCAGTTTTTAAGTTTGGATTTGGGAGTACATTTGCAGGTTTCTTACCTGGGTATATTGCATAACGATGAGGCTTGGAGTAAGACAGATCCCATCACCCAGGTACTGAGCACAGTACCCCATACGTGGTTTTTCAACACTTACCCCTCTCTCCCTGCGTCTAGTAGCCCCTAGTGTCTACTCTTGCCATCTTGATGTCCGTGAGTATCCAAAGATGTGGTCTTGCTGCTGTTGCTCCCTCCTTAACTCTTGGCTGGAGAGCAGAATTCAGGGAAGCAAAGTTGATTTTGGCTCCCTTTCTGTAAATCTTGATAGGCATAGTTTCATTCTCAAGACAAGTACATAACCTTGACTACCTTCCCCATCTTGATCCCCACCTCCCAAACCCCATTCAGCCCTGTCTAGAACTTGTAAAGCACGTGGCCTTACTTTTCCAGGCACAAGTTTTATTGTTGTGCTTCTGTGGAGTCCTCCATGTGATTTCTGGGGCAGCCCTGTCAACCCTCTGGGTGTGATCTCAGCCAGAATGTGTCACGATGGCAGACGTGGGATGAAAGGAACTGGGAAGAAAGGAACTGGGATGTCCAAATGGTCCTAGACTCCACAGGTGCCCTCAGAGGCAAAGGGGCTTCCTGCTGAAGCCCAGGCCCACCCCGCCAGCATCTGAACAGGACTGTCACTACTACGGAGGTCCCAGTTTTGGTGACTGTGGGTTCCAAAACGTTACCTTTTCTTGGGCAAAGTCAGGCTGAGTTGGCACTGGCTCTTTGAGGGGCAGCCGAACCCCACGCTTCCCGTGCAGACCGGTGGAGTAAGAGCCAGGGTCCCGGGCCACCTGCCTGGGGTCTGCCCTGGTTTGCCACGAGGTTGGGAATTCGGGCAGGCTTTTAGCTATCAGATCCCTCCATAGCTGGAGTTCACAAAAACTTCACTGTGTCACTCCAGTGTCAGTTTTTGGTTTTTTGAGCATCCTCTCGTCCGCCACCAACTTGCTGATCACTCAGTCTCTTTCTATTTAAATCCAAAGGGACAGAGCCTAATCAGCTCCAGGACTTGAAACTCCTGGGCAGGGCTTTTTCTTCCAGCCTCTTCATAGGTTACCAACCAGCTGGTAGATGGGCTGCTCTTGAGTTTAGGGGATGGTCTTTTGCCTAGTGAGGGGGCATTTCTTGTTCAAGCCCAGCCTAAAGCCATTTTCCTCCCCCTGGGCCTCCTGATGGGGTGGTTTCCTTTAGGAGGGCACTCAGGTGTGGCTGACACCATCACTCACAGATCAGGACCCAAACTTTACCAGGAGGCTCTGCTTCTCCCCATCCACCCCAGCTCCTTGCTAAGTTTTGACAAGGTCAGCAGAACTGAGTGAGATCCAAGGGACAAATGTGCCCGTGCTTCATGGCTCCTGGAAGTAAAAAGGCTCAGCAGGAAGGCTGCGATTCACAGAGAAACATCAGTTTTGCACTGTGTCTCCGAATACTAACCATGACTGCAGTCTCTACTGGAGTCTGACTTCTCTCTTTTTATTTTTAATTTTAATGTTTTAATTTTTTGTAGAGAAAGGGGTCTCGTTGTGTTGCCCAAGCTGATCTCGAACTCCTGGCCACAAGCATCCTCCTGCCTTTGCCTCCCAAAATGCTGGGATTACAGGCACGAGCCACTACGACTGGCCCCATGACTTATCTTTATATTCCAGTAGGTAGCCCTATGCCTGGCACTTAGCTGGCTCTCAGGATACTTTTTTTGGAGTAGCCATAAATAAGTAGGGATGCCCCAGGGAGACTGGGATGAGCAATACTGAGGAGTTTCAGGCACAGTTCTCCGGCCAAAGTGCTTGGTCTCTTTCCACCATCACCTGGTTTCCCTGGATCAGTTTTACATCTCATTAATAGCTTATATTTCATTTTCTTTGTAGTTCCCTTGCAGTGTTTCCCAGTGTGCGTCCTGTGGGATACTAGTTCAGTGGAATATTTTTTTTTTTTTTTTTTTTGGAGACAGAGTTTCGCCCTTGTTACCCAGGCTGGAGTGCAATGGCGCGATCTCGGCTCACCGCAACCTCCGCCTCCTGGGTTCAGGCAATTCTCTTGCCTCAGCCTCCTGAGTAGCTGGGATTA